GGTGTTGGCAACCCACTCCTTCGTGTGCAGTGCTGGCCTTGATACAGTAGGTGCTCACTAACATGACTTGCCCCAACAGTCTGTTAAGGCTATATGGCTGATCTTTGCCTCTGTCTTTGTGTATAGCAGTGGATGTATGTGTGAACATGTGTGTGCGACGAAGTTGGTGCAGGACAAATATATTATTTTCAGTGACTCAAACCGCGAAATTTATCCTCTTAAAATACTGTACAACACCATCCCATGTCCTCGGGTGTTGCTGTAAGCTTTTGTGGAACGATGCAGATTTCCCCGATTTTTCTCCAAGCTTGAGGATGATTGCACCTTTGAGTGAATTCCCAAGACCAATTCCATCGGTTTATATATATAAAAATTGGCAACAAATAGGATTGTGAGTGTGATGGCCCTTGACATATTGCTCATGTGCACATAAACTGCGAGCTTTATCATCCACCCACGTTGAAAACTGGGCTATCTACCAGACAATTTTGTCTCATCCACAGTGCAGTGTGTTCAACCACCACACTGCAGGTGCGAAGCCTTATTTCTCTGCCTCTTTCCTCGCATTGCTCGACTTCCCTCCCATCGCCTCTTGGCCCAAGTGGTATTTTTTAGATCATATCTATTATATTGTTCCCTCGACAGTGCTGTCGGTTGCTGGTCGCTTGGAATTTTGGGATTTTTTTTGGCCAGTGCTCAAGCAACCGTGATTTAAACAACTGCATGCAACGTTTTTTTTAGTTGTGAGGCAGAGTTATATACATAAAGACAAAGATCCCCCTTATAGCCTTTAACATACTTTAGGGGCAAGTGCTGTTAGCAAGCACCTATGAAGGCTGGCATGGTACACAAGGTGGTTGGTGGCCAACACCATGCCTGACCGCCTTTGTCTCCCCAGCGGCGATGTTTACACACTGCACCAGGTACTCAGTTGAGGCTGAGTCGACCTAGAGGATGCCCAAGACCGGTTCAAATAATCGTCACTGGTGGTGGCCGTGAGCGGGAATTGGACGTGGGTCACCAGGTTTATAGCGCAGGGTGCGAACAGCTACAGGACACACACACACACAAATAATGTTTTCCAACCCAAAATATTTTTGGGAAAAAACAGAATTTTCAGAAAGACAATTTTGCACACACGCACACGACTGACAGCATTTCTAGCAACACATCACATTGCGGATACAAAAAAAAGCGTCTGCTTGGCGTCTCACACACAGGCGTGAGACGTTCTTGAATTTTCAACAGCAAAAGCCGAGCCAAGAGAGATAAAGAATGTGTCCACGAGGACGACTGACCACCTTGCAGACAAGGCGATTGGATCAATTTGTGCATCCGAGTGGGATGGATGAATGCAGCACCGGACGTGAGCGATAGCGACTTCGTAAGTTGGGACCTCATCCAACAGTGGATAGCCAATGGCTGCTGTTGATGATTCTAGATTTGAAGCTTTCGTGACTGCAAGGATCCATACTCTTTGGTTCTATTCGGTAAAGTCACGTAGGTAAAAAATAAAACAAAAATCACGACCTTTTCGGCCACAACACAAGTAGCCTTCTTCAGGTGAAGGAACGTCCCTACAGTTCTGTTCCTTCACCTGAAGAAGGCTACTTGTGTTGTGGCCGAAACGTCGTGATTTTGTTGTTTTATTTTTTTACCTACGTGACTTTACCGAATAGAACCAAAGAGTATGCTGTTGATGATGTTGAAGGTACAGTACTTTAGGGGCCGTCCATAAATGACGTCACATACCTAGGGGGGGGGGGGGGTCAGACATTTGTGACGATGTGTGACGAAGGGGGGGGGGGGGTTGAGAAATGTGACGTCACATCAAAATGCGCAACTTTAAATAAATATAGACAACACGTTCTACTTAATTAAATAGACTTTTAAATAAATGTTTTCTCCTACAACATCAGAGTACAGCGGCACATTAAATACGCACTACAATGACAATAGTTTAAAGCGATTTGAAGCATATTCTTGGTTCTTTCGGTAAAGTGACGTAGAAGGGAAACAATAAAATAATAAAAATATAAAACAATAAAATTCTCAGGACGTTTCGACTGCAACACAAGCAATCATCATCAGGTGTGAAAACCATAGCAAATTTTCATCATCAGGTGTGAAAACCACAGCAAGAAAATTTGCTGTGGTTTTCACACCTGATGATGATTGCTTGTGTTGCAGTCGAAACGTCGTGAGAATTTTATTGTTTTATATTTTTATAATTTTATTGTTTCCCTTCTACGTGACTTTACCGAAAGAACCAAGAATATGAATCCCTGCAGTCACGAAAGCTTGAAATCAAAATTCGATTTGAAGCATGTTTATATTTTGGGGGGGGGGGGGGGGGCAGAGCTTTGTGACGTCACAATTGAGGGGGGGGGTCTGACTTTTTGTGACGCCGTGTGACGAAGGGGGGGGGTCAAAAATCGTCAAAAATCGCGTGACGTCATTTATGTGGCGTGTCCGGCGTTAGAAGATTGCCACTCGCGTAGCTGTACTCACTTGTCTGCACCAACACGTGCACTGGATGATGGCCGACGGACGAGACCGGTGACAGAATTGCAGTTAAAATAAGCGACCGACCGCCGCGAAATATTGAGCGATTAGATCAGTTCATTTGCAGGAGTGAGATGGATGATGGTCGCGGGCACTATGGGCCGTGAGCGATGGCTATTGCGTGAGCCGTCACCACCTCCTCCTCGTGTTCGTGGTGGGTTTTCTCCGGGCACTCCGGTTTCCTCCCACGCGGACCGAACACTCATTGATGGTATTGTTGCCAAACATTCACATCTTGAGATTCAGTGATGCTTCCTGGGTGAATAATTGTCAATTAGAATTGCCATTGTTTAATACGCATTTCGATTGTGGCGTGAGTGTGTGGGTATGCGCACCCTACATACAGTGAGGGAAAAAAGTATTTGATCCCCTGCTGATTTTGTACGTTTGCCCACTGACAAAGAAATGATGATTCTATAATTTTAATGGTATGTTTATTTGAACAGTGAGAGACAGAATAACAACAAAAAATCCAGAAAAACGCATGTCAAAAATGTTATGAATTGATTTGCATTTTAATGAGGGAAATAAGTATTTGACCCCTATGCAAAACATGACTTAGTACTTGATGGCAAATCCCTTGTTGGCAATCACAGAGGTCAGACGTTTCTTGTAGTTGGCCACCAGGTTTGCACACATCTCAGGAGGGATTTTGTCCCACTCCTCTTTGAAGATCTTCTCCAAGTCATTAAGGTTTCGAGGCTGACGTTTGGCAACTCGAACCTTCAGCTCCCTCCACAGATTTTCCATGGGATTAAGGTCTGGAGACTGGCTAGGCCACTCCAGGACCTTAATGTGCTTCTTCTTGAGCCACTCCTTTGTTGCCTTGGCCGTGTGTTTTGGGTCATTGTCATGCTGGAATACCCATCCACGACCCATTTTCAATGCCCTGGCTGAGGGAAGGAGGTTCTCACCCAAGATTTGACGGTACATGGCCCCGTCCATAGTCCCTTTGATGCGGTGAAGTTGTCCTGTCCCCTTAGCAGAAAAACACCCCAAAGCATAATGTTTCCACCTCCATGTTTGATGGTGGGGATGGTGTTCTTGGGGTCATAGGCAGCATTCCTCCTCCTCCAAACACGGCGAGTTGAGTTGATGCCAAAGAGCTCCATTTTGGTCTCATCTGACCACAACACTTTCACCCAGTTGTCCTCTGAAACATTCAGATGTTCATTGGCAAACTTCAGACGGGCATGTATATGTGTGCTTTCTTGAGCAGGGGGACCTTGCAGGCGCTGCAGAATTTCAGTCCTTCACGGCGGAGTGTGTTACCAATTGTTTTCTTGGTGACTATGGTCCCAGCTGCCTTGAGATCATTGATAAGATCCTCCCGTGTAGTTCTGGGCTGATTCCTCACCGTTCTCATGATCATTGCAACTCCACGAGGTGAGATCTTGCATGGAGCCCCAGGCCGAGGGAGATTGACAGTTCTTTTGTGTTTCTTCCATTTGCGAATGATCGCATCAACTGTTGTCACCTTCTCACCAAGCTGCTTGGCAATGGTCTTGTAGCCCATTCCAGCCATGTGTAGGTCTACAATCTTGTCCCTGACATCCTTGGAGAGCTCTTTGGTCTTGGGCATGGTGGAGAGTTTGGAATCTGATTGATTGCTTCTATGGACAGGTGTCTTTTATACAGGTAACAAGCTGAGATTAGGAGCACTCCCTTTAAGATTGTGCTCCTAATCTCAGCTCGTTACCTGCATAAAATACACCTGGGAGCCAGAAATCATTCTCATTGAGAGGGGGTCAAATACTTATTTCCCTCATTAAAATGCAAATCAATTTATAACATTTTTGACATGCGTTTTTCTGGATTTTGTTGTTATTCTGTCTCTCACTGTTCAAATAAACCTACCATTAAAATTATAGACTGACCATTTCTTTGTCAGTGGGCAAACGTATAAAATCAACAGGGGATCAAATACTTTTTTCCCTCACTGTAGATTGGCCAGGCTTTGTGTGTTCCCACAAGTGATGGCATTGTTTATCCAGCAGTGGAGAGACGATGGCTTCTAATGCTGCTGCTGCTGTTGACGAAATACCAAGCGGCTGGATAGTAACAACCCAGCCATAAGCAGCCAGCCGGCGTGGTTGGCCGGCCTTGGCTGGCGTCTCTCTCGCTCATCTCGCGTGTACATTTGGACGTGTATATTTTTACAAATGCGCGCTGGATGGAACGCAGCACCCCCCTCCCTCCGCTCCAACTCGTCCCCATCCCCCTCCCATCTCGCCCCCTCCCACCCAAAGGCAGCATGACCCCCCTCCCTCCCCACGGCAGCATGAACCCCCCCAACCTCCATCCCTCCCTCCCTCCCCTCCACATCGCCGGCTCCCTCCGACCACCCCTTCCACTCCATCCCTCCCCCACCTACCTCCCTCCCTCCCTCCCCCTCTTCCTCCTCCTCCCCTCCCCCTCTCGTTCTCCCTCCCCCCCAGGCAGCCAGCACGGGAACGTGGCGTGTATCTGTGCGCCACTTGGCCCGCGTGTAGAGAGAGAGAGAGAGCTGTCGTAGCCACCGGCGATGAGAGCGAGTGTCCGCGCTGGTTCTCCCTGTTCACTTGCCTGCATCGAGAAGAGCACGCGTGCGGTTAGGGGTTGGTGTAAGGTTGGGGTTGGTTGGTAGGTGAAGGCGGAAGGAGGAGGTGGAGGAGGTGGAGGATCAGTTTAGACGGTGGATAACCTCTTCTAAGTAAGCCCATCGTCTCCTTTTGTTAGTGTTGCTGCTGCTGCTGTGTGTGTTGAGTCCTCTCTCCGATGCTCGTGCACCCGGCGATGTCGACCCGTTGATGTCGCCAGGCATGGCCAACGAACCGAGGCAGGAGCTGGTAGGCAAGAGGTTCATGCGCGTCTCCGCCGAGGGCAGTGCGGATTTGGAGCGGATACACGAGTGGCAATGGAGAAGCGGGGTCATCCGTGCCGTGTCCCACAAGGAGAGGAACCACCTCGACCTCTCGGTATGTACGCGTGCGTGTCTGTATGTATGTATGGTGTGTCTGTATGTATGTAACGTGTGTCTGTATGTATGTATGTAACGTGTCTGTCTGTATGTAGCGTGTGTCTGTATGTATGTAACGTGTGTCTGTATGTATGTATGGTGTGTCTGTATGTATGTAACGTGTGTCTGTATGTATGTATGGTGTGTCTGTATGTATGTAACGTGTGTCTGTATGTATGTAACGTGTCTGTCTGTATGTATGTAACGTGTCTGTCTGTATGTATGTAACGTGTCTGTATGTATGTAACGTGTGTCTGTATGTATGTAACGTGTGTCTGTATATATGTAACGTGTCTGTCTGTATGTATGTAACGTGTGTCTGTATGTATGTAACGTGTGTCTGTATGTAACGTGTCTGTATGTATGTAACGTGTCTGTCTGTATGTATGTAACGTGTGTCTGTATGTATGTATGGTGTGTCTGTATGTATGTAACGTGTCTGTATGTATGTATGTAACGTGTCTGTATGTATGTATGTAACGTGTCTGTATGTATGTATGGTGTGTCTGTATGTATGTAACGTGTGTCTGTATGTATGTAACGTGTCAGTATGTATGTAACGTGTCTGTATGTAACGTGTATGTATGTAACGTGTGGCTGTATGTATGTAACGTGTGTCTGTATGTATGTAACGTGTGTCTGTATGTATGTAACGTGTCTGTATGTAACGTGTGTCTGTATGTATGTAACGTGTCTGTATGTAACGTGTCTGTATGTATGTAACGTGTCTGTATGTAACGTGTGTATGTATGTAACGTGTGTCTGTATGTATGTAACGTGTGTCTGTATGTATGTAACGTGTGTCTGTATGTAACGTGTGTCTGTATGTATGTAACGTGTGTCTGTATGTATGTAACGTGTGTCTGTATGTATGTAACGTGCGATGTGTTTGTGTTTTGCTTGTTGGGAACGGGAGTGTTGCGGTGAACGCGGTCGCGCAACGAACCTCGGAGACCCGAAAACCCCGAGTTCGATTCCCGCTCATGGCCAACACCCGTGGCGTTTATCTGAAACCTGGTCCTGGGTTTCCCCTAGTTCGACTCGGCCTCAAATGGGTACCTGGTGCGGTGTGTAAACGTCGCCACTGGGGAGACACAAAGGCTGGCCATCCACCCACTCGTGTGTGCCGTGCCGGTCTTCATAGGTGCTCGTCAACAGCACTTGCCCCAACAGTCTGTTAAGCCTAGACGGGGCTATCTTCGTCTTTGTGTGTGTGCTCACGGACAACACCAGTGGCAATTATCTGAGCCGGTCCTGGGCTTCGCCGAGGTCGACTCGGCCCCAAATTAGTGCCTGATGCGGTGCGTTAACGTCGCCACCAGAGATACAAAGGCGGACGCTTATCGCACTGTGCTGGCCTCAAAAGTCTGCCTTGTTTTTTCAGGGTTCATCAGGAGCTTACTTAATAGCTTGTCCACATGCGTGAACCTTCGACCGAATCGCCTTGAATGTGCCTGATCTCTCGTAAGCTAAGCAGGTCCTTAGCCTGGTTAGTGATCGTAGATAAAGTGCTTACCAGGTGTTGTAGACGTGTGGTTGGGGAAAGCTGGCCATGAGATGGTGTTGAGTGTCACCGTCTGATTCGGACATCTCTCCTTACTGGACATCTGTGAACAAAGAGCTTCATAGCTCATTGGATTCCTCCAGTCTAAATAAAGATTGTGATCTATGGTTGGCAAGGTGGAGGTTTTCATCCGTCTCCTTTCTCCCGCATGAAGCCAAAACCCACTTATTCGTGGCATGAATTTCCTGAAAAACATTCTTGAGACTCGGCCATACCTGGATGAGTAAATTGTCATTTTTGTTGTTGTTATGTAGTGCGCATTTTAGGCTGTGTGTGTTGGTATGTGGTTGTTCTATCTGGAGGATTTGGTTGGGCTTTGTTGTGCCCATAAGGAAAGGGTGGCCAATCATTTACAGCCCTGTAGAGTTTCGTATGTGTGTGTGTGTACATATTATCGAGGAATTCTCAGAATTAAACGTAATACGTTTCCCTCCACTCGGGGGGAGACAATACAATAACAGTACGTGAATGGTAAGACAAAGGGGGACCCCCCTAGTATACACGAAGCTTATCGCCATACACAGTGGCTGAGCAGTGCAGCAAGATTCCTGTTGTGCTGTAGCAGCCACCGACAATGCAAACATGTGTGCCAATTTGTCGATACACACTCCCGTCAACCAGCATTAATATAACGGTACATTTTATTTTAGGCATATAAAAGTGACATTCCATGTGGTATTCAAGGGGGTTGGTTTTGGAACATGTGTGTTATTGCCAAATCTGGATATTGTCAACGTGATTTGTCTTTTTTTTTAAACCTTGGGAACACAAATGCTGTCTTATTTTGCTGTTGTACACCACAGTGTTTTAGACCGGTTAAAATGAAACAAATTTTCCGTGATGTGAAACTGCGAGTGTGTTGCTGGTTTGTGTTTAAAAGAGTGTGAACCCGATCCAGCAGCTGTCATTCGTGAGTGGTTTTTGTAGCGATGCAAAAATAACACTAGATAATTACTGGGTTGACACTTCGGATTTGAGCGGTAAAGCAAAGGACATTCAAAATTAGACTCGTAGCACAGAAGGGATTAAAATAGTTGTACAGTATTGGAATCCGCATTGGTGATAATGATTGTACATTTTGTAGCGTCCAAATTCCTAAGCATATCAATACGGTGTACAGGACAAATCATGTATACACTGTATACAACATCACATTAGGACACACTCTAATAATATAATATAAACAAATTCCACGTGAATTGGATGGCTTGATCAGTCAGTTGCGTGACCAGTGAGTGGCATGACAAACCATCACGATTTGAATGCAGCATGAGCTGTCGACTCTAACCCAGACACATGTGGGGGGGGGGGTATGTGTTCATGGTTAGTGTCTTTGTAACATACAGGTAGCAAGCATCCTCTGTGTATACGTTTACATCTGACTAGCTATCGGATATCTCAAATCATTCATGACCTCGCACCTACTCACCTTTCTGATCTCTACTCTCATTACTCTTTCCTCCCCGCTGCTACAAACATGGCCTTGCCTCTCTCGGTCATATTTTACTCCGATCTGCACATTAATCTCCTCGTAATGGTAGCTTGTTCCTTCTCTTCTGCGGATCCTCCAGTCTAGAACGGATTCTCCTCTTTTCTAATCGCATTGTCACACTCCTCTGTTCACAATTCACACAGAAGGTTCGAGGCTTTTCCATTGCATCCGTAGTAGATCCCGTACACTGCTTGTCTGTTTATATAAACAATACTGTACTGTGTTTAGTTATGTGTAATTCCTTGTTTTGTCATGGTTGTGTATTCCCCCTTCATGAATGTGCATTGACTGGAGATGATTTTGGTAGGTTTTTTTTTTCTAAAGAATAAAACGTATTACAGTATTAATCAATATAACACAGCCTGAGAAGGCCAGCAACGACCAGTGGATTATCAAAAGGGCTGTAAAAAAAATATCACCAGACCCTTATTTGGCAAAAGATGCAATCATGTGTCTTGTTTTAGAATCAAAGTTTGCAATTTCACAATTACGTTGTGTTTGTTTTGCACGTTAATCCTCCCCACTGAGCTGTATAAGATGAAAAGGTCGAGACCAGACCTGGAGGAATTTGAGAGCTTTAGTGCTTATTGTGTACTGTGACTATGTTAACCTTAGAGCCTTATTGTGTCTCACCTTTCGTTTTCGTTGACTGCTTTCATTTAGCATGACTGCATTGCGTTGCTGGCCACAATAATCGAAAAACATAAACCCAGAAGATTTTCCATGAACCAAATATGTCACGAGTACGCAATTGAATTAAACATGCAAAAATATTCGACGTGTGTTTTGTGTGCACGTATGTGGAATGAGAGAGGGGGGCTCTGTGACATTTCAGAGTTTCACTCAATGCATCACATCACGGGGGACAGTCGTTTGGCAGAAAGTCCGCAGACACATGGTGCCGCTGGCCATGGATTTCTGTCGCACATATCCGACAAAACCCTGCCACCCACTCACTCCTTACGAGTCTACAAGCCACATGATCCCCCAGAGTCACGCATGTTCCCAATTGCGCTGCAATTAAATCACTATTTCCATACGAGCAGAGGAAGGCGCTTTATTAAGTGGTGCGGTTAGAAATCCAAATTATAATGAATTTGTCATTGGACACCAGACAACGTTTTGTTTTGACCTAACATCCCATACCAAACCTTGTCTGGGGTCCAAATACAGTTTCATATTTGTTTTTTGGGGATATGTTTATGTAATTTCATTCAATTCCCTGTACCATTCACAATGAGCTAAGCACTAAATATAAATTGATGAATCTTTTTTTAAAAATAATAATTCCGCCCTTCCGTCAACTGGTTAAACCCGATGACTCGAGTTCGATTCTCGCCAATGTCTACAGTGGTGAGTGACCTCACCCCGGTTTTGACCTCTATCACACCAGCAGTGGATTGATCATGACTGATGATTCTAATTTATTGAACTGCATCAATTAAGGGTGCTTGTTTTTGTTGAACGTGTGTATTCTACAATATACCGTATAGCATTGCACATACATCGGCTCTTGCTCTCTTAAATGTGGAACATTATCTTGGAGTAATTTAAGTAAACGTGTGCCAGTTAACTCTGATTATTGCACAATTACGTTTTGTATAAAAACAAATCCAACAGGAATGCACTTCATTCGAAACATGTAATGTGGACCAACTTTGCTGTGTGTACATAATACAGTGCTTCAAACTGTTCAGTTATGTTGTAGAATGTCGACGTACGGTCACTGGTATTTCCTGCACTTGTGGCACAGTACAAAACAAGTTGAACGGACATCTGCCAGCATGTGTGCACTGGGAGAAGGGGGATATCGTTGCAAATCTTGAAAACGTACACTGCGAGAGGAATAACACTGGTTCGTTATGTGCCCGAAGGAAGCCCTGCTTTGTTTGGTAGCCAACAT